TTCAACAAAACAAAACAGGCAGTGGGGGAGGGCTTGCTTGATTTCCCGGAGCTCCAGGTCCCAGCATGGCGCAGGTTCCAGTAAACGCCAATGGCTCCCGTCCTGGGCCGCCACAGCCTGCCACGCTCAAAGAAAGGGTGTGATCTTGTTCTGATGTCTCTCTCTCTCTCTCTCTCTCTCTCTCTCTCTCTCTCTCTCTCTCTGGCTCTTTTCCTTCCTGCTCCTTGGTTGCCATGCAGTGAGTAGCTTTCCTCTGAAATGCCCTCCCACCATGATGCATCTACCATACCAAGGCCTAAAAGGGATGGCGTCCACTAACTATGGACAGAAACCTCTGAGCCAAAACATCATGAAGAGGAGGAGGGACAATGCTAGGCACCTCATAGAGCTCCAGGGCTCTGAAATCCTCCCATTTCCACTGCCTCCCAGCCAGTGCCTGAGCTGCAATGCTAAGGCAGGCCTGCTCCCTGGGGGTGGCTGTCTGTGATGGTCACTTCCGGCTCCCAGACACCTCACTGGCTGCCTGGGTCACTTCTGCTTACTCCCTCCTCTCTTCTTCGCCAGGACAGGCTTGCCTTGGAGTGGAACAGTCTTTTCAACCAACCTGGTCCCCATTTTCTCTCACCAGCATGTCCCTTAATAAAATTGTCACCTGCTGAACCCCCTTCTTGGAGCCTGCTTCTCAGTAGACCTCAGTGGCACAGAGGCCCAGTGAGATGTGTGGTCCAGCAGGGAAACAACCAGCTGGAAAGCCATCAGCTGAACAAGTCTGCAATGAAAAGGGGAGGAAGAGGCTGAAAGCACACAGGGCCTGAGTCCTGCAGGGCTTCCACAATCCCTCAAAGGAGCTGAGGTTTTATCCCAACAGGGACAGCCACCCCAGAGCTCTAAGCCTATGATGGTGCTGCTCCCAACAGCCCCAGGGCCCAGTGATGGATGAGTGGGCAAACAAAATGCAATGTTTTCCAGCCTTAGAAGGAGAGGTACTTCAGACACATATGCTACAGCATGAATAACTCCTGGGGACATTTTGCTGAGTGAAATAAGCCAGACACAAAAGGACAAGTTCTATACAATTCCCACTTCCAGAAAGGATTATTCTCAAAACTCCTGTAGAGAGAAAGGAGACTAGTGGTGGCTGGAGGCTCTGGGGATGAGGAGCTGTTGTTGAATGAATACAGGTGATTTTGACCAAACCATGGTCCAGGTTTTGATTTTTCAGCTGTACAATGCTGTGAAAGTGATCTGCAGTCTGTGGAAAGTATACTTTCAAATTTGAATTTGGGTCTTTTCCTCAGATAGGGATACAGAGTACCAGACCTGGGCAGAGGCAGTGAGCTACAGCTCCCAGGTAGCCCTTGACATCCTTTTTGGAAACACCCCATAGTATTTTGACTTTGGGGAACAGCTAGAAGTTGCATGGGGCCAGACCCAGTGAACAGGGTGGATGATGACGCACTGCAATGCCTTCACAAGGCTGCCACTGTCCTGGGTGGCACTAACCACAGCTTTCACTGGAACTTCTAAAATCGAGTCTCCTAAAGACACCATGAAAAAGCACTTCCAGACCTGCTTCAGAAAATGGCAAGAATGGTGGGATAAGTGAGTCCCAAGAGACGGAGGATGAATGACACTGTTTTACCGTGATTCATCTAAACACACACTGTATTGTCCAATCACCCCTTATATGTATAACTTTGCATGTTCTGCTATTTTTTTAGTTTTTGAGGTGCTGAGGATTAAGCCTAGGGCTCCCCAGGCTAGGCACATGCTCAGCCCTGAGCCACACCCCAGCTGGAAAAGCCCTGTTGTTTTTACCCATATGAAATACTGTTAGATGCTAGGATGCAGAGGAATGGACCACTCAGAGTTGGCTCTAGGACCATGGAAATGTTGAGGTGTAGGTAAAAATAGAAGATGTTCAAGAAGTGGCTTGGACAGACGCTTATAATTAAAACAGGATGGAAAACACACTTTAAAATAAACATTATTGTAAATGGGGAAGAGAGGGAGGGGGGTATGGGAATGGGGAAAAAGTCAAGTTATATCACGTACAGGAACAAATTCTCTATGATGAATGTGCTCATTATGTATACATAAAATGTACCCATACAATCGGACTGAAAACAATAAACGTTAAGAACTAAGAAAAACTGATTAATACTGGAAACTTGATTTTCAGTTTTCATAGCATGGGATGTCGTGACTTTTAAAGCATGTTCCATAGTCTCATTCAGAAAGCCAGCTCAGAAAATCTTTTTCTTACCAATAAACATAAAATCTTTGCAACAAGTTCTCCTGGTGTTTAATCGCACTTGTCTGCTCTTCCCAGCGCGTGTTGGTAACACAGACTCTCAGCACTTCTCTTCTGATGCAGTCACATTCTGTGTCCTGCTCATCTTCTATTTGTAATGGCTCTGTTGTATGAATCACAATGATTTTCAGTTCTGCTATCAGAACAAGTCAGCTGTTACTCTGGAGACAACTGGGTATTTCAAACTATCATCTTGATTGCACATGAATGAATTGCATGCTGTAGCTGGAGATGCTTTGCACATTTCACAGAAAATGTCTGGTGGGAGAAAATAGAATGAGAAGACTTATCCCTAAAACCTCTACTTTATTAAGGGTTATTAACATTTTATTATTTTATATTGTCTTATTTTATTAAGCTATGCACAACTTTCAGTAGATTCATTTCAAAATATTAACTATGTGTGGTACAGTTTTAAAATATTTTCATGTGACATTTAACTATAAAGTATAGGTAGTATTTTTAAGATAAAAATAAGAGCACTGGTATGAAAAGAACACTATTCTCTTTTCCAAGTTATTAACTTCGAAGGCTATGATATCAAAATTCAAATGTTTTTAATGACCAGCCCTTAAAACATTCTAATGCTGTGTCTTGGACACCAGCATCTTAGGCGAACACCTTTCCTATTGATGACATTTCTGGAGCTGTCACCACCTGTAATCTGTGACAATGGCCATCAGGTTGGGCATCTCACTAGTCACGAGCAGTCACTGTATGGCTTACGGTGGGTTTAAAGGGTTCCCACCTTCTTCTGTGAAGGATCCATTGTTCTTCATAACTGGTTCTTTCATTTTGCACAACAAATGATTCTCATGTATGATAATTGCCACAAGGTCTTCTTGTCCAAAGTCATCTTCCAGCATTTTCCAGCTGAGTGTCACAGGATTAGAGAAAGCAACAAGCCTCAGTGTCTCTCGGTGAGCCTGGGAGAAGCTGGTATTTTATCAGCTGCCTGGCATGATGGGCAGAGCCAGGTGGGCTTGGGCACAGGGCAGGATGTGGGCCACGTATGTCTTCCCCATGGGTCTAGGATCCAGGCTCTGTAACTGCTCCTTTCCAGATCACATTCTGGGGAGAATCAGGAGAAAGCATGTGCCAAGATTAGGCAGAACACAACAGCTCCCTTCTGCTTCCCTGACTGTGGTGGAGGCATTTGTTCAAAACATGTTTGGAGACACAAAGGATTTCAAATACCACTGTGAAAAGTTGCATCACTGTAGGGAAAAAAGCCCTAATATCAGAGAAGATAGAATCTTGTTTTCCTTTTCCATTTTATTAAAGGCTATTAACTGAAGAATAAATTACTTCCCTCTAAACTTAAAACTTACAAGTTCTCTCAGCCAAAGAAATTCTGAAACAGCGACCGTGAAGGCGGTGCTCAGCGTGTACCAGGTGCCATTTTTAATGCTTTCACACGGAGAATCATTCACTCCGATAACTGTGTAGGGTAGGTCCTGTCGCCCTCATTGTACAGATGAGGAAACTGAGGCTTAGGTAATGTGTCCAACTCAAACAGCTGGCGGTGCAGAGCAGGATTGTACCTCAGTGCAGAGTCGGGAATTTGTGCTCTGAACTGCTGTGCCAGCTCAGCTGGTTGCCTGACGGCAGAAAGGAAGGTTTTGCTTTTCCTCAGGCTCTTAGTAAAGTGTGGTCTTGAATCCTTCAAGGTAAAGCAAGGAATTAAAATAACCAAAACCTGAAAGCTCAGTTACTGTTATGATGGTTTGAAGTAAGGAAACTATTTTAGGGTTTTTGTTTTGTTTTGTTCTTGAGACAGGGTCTTCCGTGCAGTTCAGGCTGGCTTTGAGCTCACTTTGTAGCCCAGGCTGGTCTCAAACCTGCAACAATCCTCTTGCCTCAGCCTCCCGAGTGCTGGGATTACAGGTGTGTGTCACCATGCCCAGCTATTTTAGAGTGTAATCAAATCAAATTCATTGCCTCTTACAGAAAACAGCTGGCAGTGTCCATTTACAGTATCTCTTGTCTCAGTGAAAACTATGGCAGTGGGGCTGTTATGGAGACGTTATCTCCTCTCTATGGAAAGACAATAAAGTCAAAGGGCAACCAAGTAAGTCCCTTGGGTCACCTGAGAAAGAAATGAGGAGCAATCTGAGAAGAGCATGGTGGGACACATTTTCCACAATTTTCATGTTGGACAGTGAAATTAAAATTAAGTAGGGCCCAGGTTTGCCTGGTTGTGAGTAGGTCCAAGCAGTGAGCCTGAAGACTTCGCAAACTCCTCCTTTTCCTCTTAAAATTCTACCTCTGGAATTCCTGAGGAATATGATTAAAAAGTGCCCAAAATGTGGGGTAGAAAGAGCTAAGCATTGGCTTAGAAGAAAGATAGGAGGCAGGACAGATGCGGCTTAGGTCATTGCAAAGTTTGCAGATCAAATCAGAGCTCTAAAATGTGATGATTTTAAGCTATCATAACTCAGGAGAGAAGCTCTTGGAGCTTTTTTCCTTTGTGTTCAGAATTCCGCCCAGATATTGTAGCTTCAAAGTACCTAGGTGGAAAAAGTTTTAAAAACAACACAATTTAAATGGGCAAGATTCACATATGTAAGAGGATATTTATAACGTTCTGATTAGTAAGCTCACTTGAGAAACAGGGTTACTTCATTTAAAATTACGCCATCGTAATGTGTGAAACGAATGCTCCAAACAAAGAACAAATACACCATTTCCAAGAACATAACTTTATCATCTCTTAATTCTCTCTATATTTTCAACCTCTGACACCTGTCTTCCCTGCATATCAATGCCAGATGATAAAAGTTTTGAGCCAAACTGGACAAGGGACAAGCAAAATACAAAACAGACAAACCAAAAGACAGGAGAAGTGTTTTTCTTGATATTTCTATAGCACATTTACAAAAGTAAAACGAACTGATCATTATGTATACATGTTAGTATCTGTTAGTATTTACACATATATACGTGCATATGAAATCGAGTAAAACGATAAATTTTAAATAACTCATGTGAAAAATACATAAAATGTGACTGATCCCTCAACTTGAGTGCGCTCTCAATATTAAGTACTTAAAAATATTTAGGAAAAATAACCCCCAAGTATATTTTAGTGGGAGATAATAAAAGTCAATGAGATAAGAATATTAAGTGTTCGAGGTGATTTTAATAAGTAGAGCAGATGCGAAAAAAAGTCTGTCTCTAGGCAGGAATCACATGACGCACATCAAGTGACGAATCAGAAATTAAAGAGCCCGTCTTTCCCAAGGTCAGTTTTACCGTAACTCGCGCAAAGCCAAGGAGCTTGCAGGACGCGGACAGACGGACGGACGGACGCGGCGGCTGCTAGTTGAGGCAGGGGCAGCAGAAGCAGCAGAGGGTCCGGCACGGGTTCCTCCTCTTGTACTGCACGGCCTTGCGCACCTGCGCCTTGGCCTCGCCGGTGTAGTCCAGCGTCTTCTGCACGTTGACCTCGATGACGTTCAGCGTGTCGGCCTGCTGCTCCACCAGCACCGCCATCTGCAGGAAGAGCTCGTGCACGTCGCGGATGCGGCTCTCCAGGCGCAGCAGCTCGCGGTGCCGGCTCTCGATCTCGCTGAGCGCCGCGCGCGCGCCCTTCACGTCGGCCAGCAGGTTCTCGGAGAACACGTCCCACTTGCCCTGCTCGAACATGTCCTCGATCTGCTCGCTCGACACGTCCTTGCCCATGACCTCCAGCTGGCGCTGGATGCGGATCTTGCAGTTGTCGCGCTGCTTCATCTCGGCCTGGTTGTACTCGTGCATGGCCCGCTGGAAGGCGCGCGTGAGCGCGTTGTACTGCGCGCGCGAGATGCGCGCCACCGCCGAGTGCGCGCCGTGCTGGGCCTCGGCCGCCTCGCTCAGCTCCTTCATGGCCTGCAGCTTGCGGTGGATGCCCTCGCCGCGCGCCTTGATGGCCTTGGCGATGGAGTTGGTGTCGCGCTTGATGCTGCTGAGGCGCCGCATGGACGTGAGGAAGCGGGCGTTCTGCTTGCCCAGCCGCCGCACGTCGGCCGCCAGCAGCTGGTTGTCGCCCTGGATGTCCTGGATGTCTCGGTACAGGGACTCCAGGAGGTGGTCCGTCTCGAACACGATGTCCTCGTGAGGCGAGTCGAAGTCATCGTCCTCGTCTGGGAACTGCTGGTCATAGCTCCTGGACAACTCCAGGAGTTCCGCAAGCCGGTCCTTCATGTTGGCTGCAAGCGGAGACAGAAAAGTTAGCTATTCTTGCTGGGCTCTTCCTGAAGAATTAACGACATCGTGTTACAGTGATCCGTGCATGCCCACGTCCGTAGACAGCTGCACGCTTTGTCACAGCTAAACCTCGGAAGCGGCCTACATGTCCACCGACGGAGGAACGGATACAGAAAATGTGGTATTTGTACACAGCACAGTACTGCTCTGGTGTAAAGAAGGATAATCATTTGGAGCTGAATACCTTATAGGAAATGGAAGCACCTTGGGATCATCACGTTATGTGAAGTGAATCAGAATATTGCCTGGTTTTTCTCATACTCAAACCATAAATAAATCAGAAGGCAAAATAAAAGAGAATAGGAAGTAGGAAGACAGATCTTTTGCAGATGGGAAAGGGGAGGGCAAGAGATGGAAGGAAGGGGAAGGAGAGAACAGGATGAAAAAGAATTAGGATGTGCCGTGTCCCTGTGCTAGCTAACTCCCCTGGAGGAATGGGATCACCGTGCACCGCAGATGTTTCAGCCCATCAGAGTGACTTTTAATGTACTAATAAAGAATAAAATTGTGAAAAGAGTCCTCCAGGGAAGAGTCATTCAAGGAGGTTGAAGCTTAAAATTCAGCTGCGTTCTCCTCAGGGCCCCTCGTTCTTTATTCCTGGGTGTAGCTGATAAAGGAGCTGACAGAGAAATAACACGAGTGAAAGCCACCGTCACCGTGTTCAGTGTTACAGGCGCTGCTCCAGCAATTTAAAACTTTGCTTTAGGAAACAGTATCTTATTCTGGATGTACTTTTCCAGTCATCACAAATCAAAATACACACACACACACAAGGAAAAAGAAAAGATGTGCAATTACAGAGAACTTGGAATAAAGAATTCTCAAGGTTTGGAACCAACCCGAAAGTCCCCTGTGCAGCCCATGCATTTAACTCTTCAGGTAATTACTGTAGAATGCAGAGCGTGATTTTTTTTTTCTTTTTAACATATTGTGAAAGGAAAAACGTGTGAAGGGAAACAATAACAAAATAAAGACAAATTAATAAGGAAGCTTGGTATAAAATTTGGAAGTTGAAGCCAGCGGAGGCGGCAGATCCCTGTAAGACCCGCTTACTCGGGAGGCTGAGGCAGGATGAACACTTGTTTTTATGGTTTGAAGTCCAGCCTGGGCAACGAGGAAAAGTGGGAAGGAGAAAGGAAAAGAAGGAAGAGGAAGAGAAAAAGAAGGAGGGAGAGGAGAAGGGGAGAAGGGACGGGGAAGGAAGAGGGAAGGAGGAGGAGAAGCTGAGATTATTTGTTTTTTTCCCAATATCATCCCCTAATGGTAAGTATGGTTTATAAAATTATATTTTCCTAAATAAACAAACTTTTTTGTGGAAAACTTCAATCACAGCCATGTAGCAGTAATATAACACACTTTTATTTATCTACCATACCTCGGGAATATATGTACATTTTTAATGGCTTTTTGAATAAAGTTGGCAGCTAAAGCAAAGTTTGTTTTTGTAAGGGTGGTTCTGATAATTTTCCTGCTTACTAAGGCAAAATAATGTCTCTATATGCACATCTTTCCACTAAGGTGAAAATTGTCATATATATATATATATATATATATATATATATATGCACCAATATAGAGAGTATTTATTTTACATGGACAGTGCCATTTCATGCCCCAAAATGTCTCTCTTTCTGATATTATTTTTAAGAAGGGGAAAGCAGTAGCATTGAATGACTACACAAATTTCCAGGGATCTTGACCTCCAATTAAAAGCTTCTCTCTTATACTGTACCACTAACATAATACTGACAAGCTGGATTTAGTGATAAATGGGAAAGCAGTGAAATATTAGCCATGGCCTCCTACCCACCATCAACATCATTTACATAAATTAAGCAGATGCTTTAGTCCATCATAGTGAAGAAGTTTTTCTGCTTAAAATGCCATTTACGCTATCTGGTAACTAAAATCAATACCAGACTTTCTTGATGGCGGGAAGGTGACTTTCCCAACAGAAAGACTGAGTGACAGACAAAAAACAGCCAGCCTGGATCCTAACCATACCTTCCTCTGGGCTGCGTGTCTTGATAATCAACTATCTGATCACTTTGAATAAATTTAAAAGCCTGGATTTCGCAGAGAATAACAATATATGATGATGGGTTAAGCTAGTTTATATTTTCAGTTATTCTAGACTTATTTTTAAATGACACATAAAAATTTTACATATTAACAGATACCCTGTAATGATTGAATCCATGCATACATTTCATAATGTATAAATCCAGTGAAATAGATTTATCACTTTAAACATTTCTCATTTCCTTCATGGTGAAAACTTTCAAAGTCCTTTCTTCTAGCTTTTTGATATGTGCAGCGTATGTTTGTAAAAAGTACAAAACATAAAAAGACTGTCACTCACCCAAGGACAAAACAAAGATTACGAGACAGAGAACGCAGGAATACCTGATCTATTTCAGGTGCTTACTGTATGTCTGGTGCTGTCTGAGTACATTTCTTGTGATACATTCTGTAAATTTCTTGTGATACAGGCTCTAGGGAGCAGGTGCTGTCACTTTCAGAGCTCGCACAAGCAGAAGGAGATTCTGAAGGACTGTATCCCAGGTTGCTGTGATTAACATACAGATGCCCCCGGGGCCTCATGTACTCAGTGCAGGGGGTTCTGAAAGGTGACCGGATTTGGGAACTAGGGCTGAGGTGCTGCTAGGAAGTGGAGTATGGTCGGAAGAGGTGGTCGCTGGGGGCGGGCCTGGGAGGGACCAGTTTATCTCCCTCCCCGACTCCTCCCTTCACTCCCTGCTGCATCTGGATGTGAGTAGCTATTTCTCTGCTGAGCTGCCCTGCCTTGGAGCCACCAGAGTGCGTGCTGAAACCTTTACACCTCTCGTCCTTTGGGGATTTTGGCCAAGCAACTAGGAAAATAAGACAGTCACTATGCACAAAATTACTTTTAGTAGATGTATAAAGGCATACTAGTAAAGAGTTTCACTACAAGCCAAAGAAATACAAATCAAATTGTGGGTTTTCTTTTTCTTTTTCTTTTCTCAGTAAGTTGGCAGGATTTTTAAAAAATAATATCTTTTTCAAATGGGTAAGGATTCTGGGAACTCTTCAACATGCTGGTAGGTACATTGATAGAACCTTCCTAGAGGATAGTTTAGAAATATACATCAGAAGCTTTCCAGGTTGCATTTGTTATGATCGACGGCTGTTTATTGTAAGGGTATTTATAGACATGTGAGGTTCATAGCTATAAACACCTTCATTTTCATGCTCTTTTTACAGAATATCAGAAATGATCTCAGTGCACAATAATAAGGTTCCGGCTGCCACATAAATCAGGGTTTAGAAGGTTATCTAGTGACATGAAAATCGTAAGTACTGTCCTAGGTAGGAAAAGGGAAAGGAGTTTATGCTGTTTCCCGGGGGGGCCAGCGCTAGCTGGCTTGCATGGAGTTGAACTGCATCTGAACTGCTCAGGGTAGTAGCTAATACAGTTTACCGTGCCACATGGGCAAATTCTGATGACAAAACAAGAATGGACGATAGGAGTCATTCTTGCATCTTGGCCAATGTGGAAATGGAAATGGGTAATAAAGGGGCACTGCCACCCACAGGACCCGAGGGATCTGCCTGTAGGTGTCCTGGTGACCCGAGCCAGGCCCTCACTGTCTATTGCTCTCTGAAGCCATGAAAACCCTACTTGGGGAAATCATCTCACCCAGAAGACAAAGAATAAAGCTTAAGTCAAACAGCATAGAAAATGATTTTGAAAAATCTTTATGCCCTATGACAAATGTGATTAGTACGCAAATGAAAATGTACAATAAACTAATTTTTGTAAAGAAAGAACTTTATGGAGAGTTACTTTACTATTATAGGTCCTCAATCAGGTGAAGGCCTAGGTCCACAGTCTGGTGAAGAGAGAGGAAAGAAGGGCGAAAGGATGTGAAGGTCCTCCGGCCTTCCAGCCCACCCTTCCCAGCAGGACACGCTGAAGGTCTGCTGGCTACAGGAGCAAGCACTGGGAAGACTGCCACAGTAAATCAACCAGGAGGCACCCACGGCTAGGAATGTCTCTTAAAACCTTAAAAATATATAGTTTGCTAAAGTTACATCAAGCTATAGAAGAGGGCACCAAAAGACCACAGAATAACCTTCACATTCATTAGCTTGATTCTGTACTGCGAGAGCCCAAAAAGAACAATGGTAAACGACAAAGATCAAACAATTCTACTGACCTTCGTATTTCTCTGTGCTAAAAGGTGATGTTGAAAACTTTAGCAAATTTTATTCATAGAGTTGCTAAAATCTTTTAATTCACTCAGAGATGAAGAATTCAAAGGAAAATCTTTAACCAACTACCATACATGTGCTTCTGCTTTCATATTTTAATCTTAGGCATGCATGTAATCTGTCCTGAAAACCAAACCCTACAGGGAAGAAGGGAGAAGCGCTTAAGCCTTCTTTCACTGAAAAATAAAATTTTACATATGAGAGAGAGAGGGGGAAAAAAAGAGATGATAGTTAAGTGGCTTTTAGTCATTCAGAGGCATGAGACTCACCTGGAAACCTTCAAACACTGTAGATTTCTAGGCCACTACAGATTCTGATCCAGTAGGTTTAAGATGATGGCTACTTAATTCTAACTCACATGCACAATTGTGACCCACTCCATAGGTACCTGTTATGCCAGCTCTTTATTTATAAAAATCCTGCAGTTCTGGAGAACTTCAATGGTCCTCAGTTTGGTGGCAGTTTTAATGAGTAAAGAATTGACAGAGAAAAGACCAGGTAGCTATTGGTAGCTTTCCAAAGCACTCCTTGCCAGTCCTTGGGATGGACAGGAGCCAAAGAAGAAGTTTAAGTCAAGTGGGAACTCATCCTCAATCTATGGAAGCCCAAAAGGCCAAAAATGTTAAGAGATCATTAACTTCAACATCTTCCTTTTTGATGAATGATTATAATTACTGAAGGGACC